GTGATATACGTGAACGCATAAATGTATATAAATATTGCATAAATATATAAATAAGTGTACATATATACATATAAATACATACGTACATAAATGCATATATATAAACATGTATATATTTATATATTTGAATCTGTCATTTTGAATTTTTTTTACCGTTTGTTTTACCTTTCTGTGATGAATTAGCGAAAGTTCTAGTCTAAGATCAAGAAATAAGACGAGCGGAGAACTGGAGCTGATTTCACGTTCCTAACAAAGCGTGTCGGCGGAATCATGGCTTTTCCGGAACTTCAAATTCCTCGCTTTTGTAGTTCGGAAACTGATATGTCTGGGACATACCATATAATACTACACATTTAAACGAAAACGCTTCAACAATGCTTTTTTAGTTATGCAAAAAATATAAACACACGAAGAGCCAACAAAACATTTGGGTTTTAGTTCGCGCAACCAATTTTGACAACTGGTGTCCAGAACGCCCATATATACATGGCGGTGGTTTGAGTGGCAAGTACTATCTAGAGAATGTTCACTTCCATTGGTCACAGAGTTATTTAGACGGCAGTGAGCATCACATCGGTGGACGCAGCTTTGTCGCTGAGGTTCGTTCGTTCACTATTTCCACGCTTTTCAAACATTTTTTGGTTTTAAATCACTGGTAATGCGCACTGGGCGGGCCCATGCGATCATGCGTTTTTGCAGTATTTCGCGCTGTAATGAGATCGCTCGGAAACCTTGTAGCGAGGATTTGTGACATATTGGTCCTCGAAGTTCGGGAAGTTATTTGCTTACGCGGTATTTGGACAGGAACATTCCGTTAAAATTTCAGCTTTTCAACTTCTTTGGTTCTTGAGTTAGCAATTTTTCTGCCAAAAAACTTCATGGGTCCATATATAAGAAACACGCGTACTTGAAAGTTGAATTTGATGTCTTTAACTTTTACGGAGGCTGGAAACACACCCTTAAAATTTCAGCTTCCAGCATTCCTATTTTCCATGTTAGCCAATTTTACCGCCAAAAAATTTTACGGGGTTGTACGAAAGAAGCACGAATGCCTGAAGGCTGAATCTGGTAAATTTTTTTGCTGTACATATGCTGGGATCATTCCCTAAAAAATTCAGCCTCCCAGCTTTTACGGTTCCCGAGTTAGCCATTTTCCCGCCAAAAACTTCCATAGGGGCGCACATGAGAACCACGCATACCGAGGATTGAACTCGATAATTTTAGGTTGTACATGAGCTGGGAACATCCCCTGAAATTTCAGCCTTCCAGCTTTCCTGATTCCCATTTTAGCGATTTTCGCGTCAGGAACCCTCGCGAACCCATGCACCGGTGGCACTTGATCGGGAAACCTACTGGCAAAATTTTGGCATCAGAGCTTGCTTGGGTGCCGAATTGAAATACCCAGACAGACGCACACACACGCAAACGTTTACGCACACATATACACACACACCGGGGTCGTCACAACACGCGTTTTTGCATTTGTATATAAGCAAAAACGCATAAAAATGACAAGGATGGGATTATCCCAAGTTCAACGCTTCGGTATGATGAAGGGATAAACAGCGCTAAAATACGGCAGGGTGCAAACTCTGGTATTTTTTAGCTAGTCGAAAATTTAAAACGTAAACTAGTCAAAACAAGAATAAGACTACAGTGCCAAAAATGAAAATCAAATAAATCAGAAAATGTAATCATTTTTGTCAGGTTCATATGTTGCATGTGCATGAAGGTTATGATCTGGACGACAGCGCATGGCCAGCGAATATGTTCGCTGCAGTGGCCATTTTCGTTAAAGTTGACAACGATGGAAGGAATTTCAGAAATCTGACTAGTATTTTCGAGAAACTTAACAAAATTAGTACGTGTTTCATACATTATGTTTTAGCAAGCCAAAAGTCAGCTTCAGAATAAAAGTACTGGAGCGATTTTCCAAATTATCTTTAAATGCAGCTGCTTATTAACTGTATTGCAGTGATGCTAATCTCATTCATAGAATTTTGAAGGTTATTCAGACTCGGAACTTAGTAATGATGCATACCTGTTTTAATTAATCGGTAACTGCAATATTCACTAAAATTTAACACTTGGTCAGCAAAAGGAGCAAAAACTTCAGTCTGCCTGAGCAATTTTTCATCGTTTATTCTAAAATTAGTGCGTTTGAGCTGGCGCCTTTTGAGTAACGAAATGACAATATTTGCATCGAATTTTACAGCTAAGGGATGAAACACAGGCAGAACACCTTCTGTATATTCCTCTTTATATGACTTTTCAACATGTCGCACTGTTTGTACCACATTAATAGCTCTACTATCTTTCCCATCATAATCTGTCAACTAATTCCACCCTACACCGAAATTTATGGATTACGGCCGACTTATATTTTTCAGCGGTCCGGACTGGCCGCTTACTTCGGAAATTACGATTCCGCCTACCAAGGGCCGCAAATTATCAATTTAACCCATCTCGGCCAGTCCGCTTGGACTGTCCACTTATGATTCGGCTTTCTAATGGTCCTTACTTGTCGTTTCCGTAGAATATCTTATCGTAAACAATATATTTTGACGGCAGCAGTTCATAGCCACTTTTCAAGCGTACCACTGTCAAGTTGCTTTGACCAATGCTACATCGTCTAGAGGTCAGTCTGCTGGTGATTCTAAATTTCGCCTGGTCGTCTGGACAGTTTAGCAGTTCAACAACGCCCTGCGCAACAGAAACAAATGGCAAGACTCACATGCAGTACGACTCAATGAAGTAGAGCAAACTGTCACTTAATGTGTATTTAGATTCAACAGCAATAGCGCAAGACTTTCGGCCGCACTTGCTACTTCCACATGATACGAGTACCTTTTATCGATACAATGGTTCGCTATCAACACCGCCATGCAGTGAGAAAGTGACTTGGTTTGTGCTAACAAACCCAATATCAATCACCGATGAGCAGGTACTTTCGCTTTGTCCACTTTCCCGCCCTGCATTCAAGAATATCTCTCAGCAGCTGACGTTATAAAATATATGGAAGAATGGATATACTGTTTCAGAGTATTATTCCTGAAAAAAAAATCCCACCAATAGTTTTGCAAACAGCGAACGAACGGGCTGACAATTTTGTGCAATTATCCTTCTGACGCATTTTTTTCTTTTGTGATTGGCCGGCTTTGCCTCAATTGAACGCTTTAAATTCAGGTGCTTCTATCAGAAGCACATAAAGGACACATATGTAAGTGATTCATCAGGTAGC